AAAAAAAAAAGCCAACTAGGATTCTTGAAACACAGCTCTGAAGAATACAGATTTTTTCTAACATTTTAAACTTCATTCCTACTTACTTACATATATCCTTTCCAACTTTATAGACCAAACAAAACTAAAAATCCCACCTTTTTAGTCCCATGCGCTCTCTCTTCTCTCTCTCTCTCTCTCTCTCTCTCTCCTTCAAAAATCTCATCTTTTGAGGTTTCTTGCTCTTCTTTTTCTTCTTCCCTTTCACATTTTTTTTTTCTCTGTTTTAATTTCTTAATTTTAACCCATCTGAGCCTTCAATTTTGTCGTTCTGTATTCCGTTTCCAAATAAAGATCGAAAATTTGCAGGCTTTGTGTGTTGACGACAGCGATGGACGGCGCCACCGTCAAGCAATCGGTGCGCAAGAAAATAATCACCAAAAAGCTCTTCAAACCCTCCAAACAGAGCATCCACAAGAAACCCACAAGAGAGTTTCTGCATCCCAATGACCCCCCCAAAGTCGTCCTTATTTCCGTCACTGACCCGTACGCCACCGACTCCTCCGACGAAGACGAAGGCGGCCGGCAGCGCGTCAAGAAATACGTCACCGAAATCAGAATGGAGCAGGGGAATGCCGCCAACGGCAGGAAACGGACCGCCGGCGGCCTCCAGCCCAAGCCAAAGCCCGCGGAGGCTCCCCCCGACGCGGAGGACGGCGGCTCTAGGAAGTACCGAGGCGTGCGGCGGAGGGCGTGGGGAAAATGGGCGGCGGAGATCAGGGACCCCTCCAAGAAGGCGAGGCTCTGGTTGGGCACCTACGACACGGCCGAGGAGGCCGCCATGGTCTACGACAGCGCCGCCATAAAGCTACGCGGCCCGGACGCCATCACCAACTTCTCCGTCCCGCCGGAGAGGGATCTGGTAAAGCCGCCTCCGCCGTCGTCGTATTCCGGCACCGGCTACGACTCCGGTCAGGAGTCCCGCAGCTTGCGGTCGCCGACCTCAGTCCTCCGGTTCAGGAACGCGGATCCGGAGCCGAGCCGGTCCATCTCGGTCCAGGATCTGGGAAATGTGCCGCCCGAACCGTGTGTCTCAGTGGAGGGTCCGGTTATCAACCAGTTGAACCGGCCCGTTTGTTTTCCCGAACCCGTTCTTGAGCCGGTTCAGCAGGTGGACGAGTATCAGGGGGAAACAAGTGTTGTGCCTGATTATTCTAATGACTACTTGCCTACGGATTCGCCGTTCTTGGATTCTTTCTTCAATTTTGAGCCGCAGGATCAGACGTTGTTGTTCGATGATGGGCTGGGCCTCACCAATTTTCACAAACCCGATTATTTCACAAAATGGGCCGATAGCTTACCGGACTTCGAATCCAATTATGGGGACATTAAGGATTCGTCGTTTCAAGATCACGAGTTGCTCGACGTTTGCGACTACTTTCAAGACGACGTTTGCTAGTCCTATCAGGGTCACTCGATGCGTTCGATTATATGGGGCAGATTTTGTCAACCGGATCTCCATTTGCTTAATTTTTTTATTATTATTCATTAGGAAGAGCTATGTAAGTAGCTTTAGATTTGCCGAATAAGTTCTTTTTGAGTGAGAGTTGTAGTAGCACATGACATTTTTTTCAATGTTTAATCAAAATTATGAAAGATTTTTTAATTTTTTGAAATTTTAGTTTAGTATTTGAAGGACACCCTTGTAACTTGTTCTTTAAAGTTGCAAGTAATGCCTCGACATTGTGTTTGTTTTGTACTTTTGTATACCCACAATCTGAGGGACTTCGTTATAAAACACATGAATTGGTCATTGAACAAGATATTTTTGGGGTATAAATTATACAAATTAAGGCGCTGTTTGGTTGGGCTAGATATATCAAACACTTTGGTACAATATCCCTCTTTTTATTATGTTTTGTTGGGCTAGATATTATAGGTGGATAGCCTATGAATTGTAATGAGTTAAATCTTTGAAATTGTATTACACCTATTATTAGCTCATGTTCCTCTATCATCCTCTTTCCACATTTATAAATTACTATTTTACCCTCATATAAAAGGGGTTGGGGTTTGATTTCTAAATTGATGAGTTGTGAGGTTGAAGGATTTCCATTCCTACAAAGTTTCATTTCTGAAATTATCACATCATTAACCATGATTAAGTTTAAAATTATTTACACGGCCCCGCTAAGCTCGTCGGCAACGTTTAAAATTCCGGATTCCTTTCCAGCAATTGGTTCTAGGGGACTATTGGCTGTGGGTCGCGATGTGACTGATTTGGAGATTTTTCAGTCTCTAAAGAAGATGGCCCCATTGAAAGCCCCAGGGGTCGACGGATTACATGCTTTGTTTTTCCAACAAAAGTGGATTAAGGTTGGCCCTTCGGTGTGTTCGACGATCCGAAATATATGGAGAGGAGATTAGATGTCGAAATCTATGAACAAGACGTTGATTGTGTTTATTCCTAAAGTTGAAAATCCGATGTCTTTGAAGCAATTTAGGCCGATTAGTTTGCTTAATGTTATATATAAGATGACTACGAAGGTCTTGGCGGAGAGAATGAAATCTGTGTTGCCACTTATTATTAATCCGACTCAGGCGAGCTTTGTTCGCGGGAGACAGATATCTGACAATATTGTAGTCGCTCAGGAGTTAAATCATTCAATGAGAACGAAGAAGGGGCAGAGAGGCTTTATGGTGGTTAAAGTTGATTTGGAAAAGGCTTACGATTATCTCCAATGGGATTTTATTCGTCAGTCGTTGGAGTTAGTGGGCTTTCCTGCTATTTTTGTTAATGTTTGATGAATTGTGTTACATCGGCTTCCATGCAATTGTTGTGGAATGGAGGACTTAGTGAGGAATTTTTTTCCTTCGCGGGGTATCCGCCAAGGTGACCCTATCTCCCCGTACCTTTTTGTACTTTGCATAGAAGGACTAGCTCATATGATTAATCTATCTGTTATGCATGGAAGCTGGAAACCTATTACTGTGGGTAGAGGATCAGTGTCGATTCCTTATTTAATGTTTGCAGATGACTTACTCCTCTTTGTGGAAGCAGACTCGACCCAAGCGGCTATTTTGAAGTCTACTCTCACCTATTTTTTGATGCTTCGGGACTGAAAATTAGCGAGGCAAAAACTTATGTTTTTTTCGAAGAATGTCACTGATGAAGATCGAGAGTCTTTGACTAGACAGTTGGGGTTCGTGACAGTTGAGAACCTTGGAAAGTACCTCGGCATGACGATGAGTCATGGACGTGTTAACAAAAATACTTACATGGAGATTCTAGAAAAGACGAAGAAAAGAATGGCTGGGTGGAAAGCTTCAGCACTCTCAATGGCTGGTAATGTGGTTTTAGCACAGTCGGTGTTAAGTTCCTTGTCTTATTATTCAATGCAGACAGCTCTCTTACCATATGGGGTTTGTGATGGCTTGGAAAGAAAGTGTAGGAATTTTATCTGGGGCGGCACATATGCTAATCGACGAATCAGCTTAGTATCATGGTTTGAGGTTTGTAAATCTAAGGATGATGGAGGGCTGGGAATGAAGGAGCAGAGGCGCATGAATAATGCCTTACTCATGAAGATGGCCTGGAATTTTTTAACGAAACCTCAATCCCTTTGGACGAAAGTGATTCGAGCAAAACATGGATTAAATCCGGCGAACATGAGAGAGGATTTTATTTTCCCTTAAGGTCGGTTGTGATCAAAGCTTTGTGAAGTGTGTGGAAGAATGTGTTGAAGGCATTAGATGGTCGGTTGGGAACGAAGGTAAAGCTAAATTCTGGTGGGATAGATGGCTAAACCTTTTCTGAGCCATTGATCAATTGCACCACAGGGCCTGTTCCAGAATACTTGCTTCATGCAACGGTATCGATGTTTGCGACCACCGAAGGTCGTTGGAATTGGAGCTTATTTCAACATCTTATTCCAGCTATGCATTTGCTTAGAATTGCGGCGATAATACCTCCCTAACAGGACGGTGATGAAGACATTTGCTATTGGGGGCACTCACCGGACGGAAATTTCACGACGAGATCAGCTTACGTAGCTCTTGCGCCGCCGCTGGTATCACGAGGTAATCGCTGCTGGAGATTAATTTGGCGTTGGGTGGGCCCGTAACGAGTCCGACAATTCCTTTGGCTGGCAGCTCGTGATGGTATGTTAACTAATGAGATGAGACAACGTAGACACTTGATAGATAATTCTTATTGTCAGGTTTGTCTTACAAATGGTGACTCCACTTTTCATGTTTTAAGAGATTGTAGGGTAACTGCTGATACTTGGAAAAAATTAGTACCACTAGAGTTTTGGCCTATGTTTTTTCGCTACCCTTGCAGGATTGGATTTGGTGGAATTTGGCGGGGAAATTGGTGACCGCTTTGGTGAATTAGAAGTCCATATTTGGGAGTGTGCGGTTGAGCAACGTGTTCAGTTGAGCAACGTGTGGAGAATTTTTCTCCTTTGTTAACCAAATGAGGGTGGCAATGCGTAGTGGTATGGCGATGGGAGGTGTTGGGCTGCTCGAACAGAGGTCGATAGCTTGGTCGCCGCCAGATGTCGATAAGGTGAAGGTTAAAACAGATGGAAGTTTTGTACCCCACACAGGTATGGCTAGTGCGGGTGGTATTATTCGAGATCATACGGGGAAATGGTTGAGTGGTTTCTTAATGAACATTGGTTTTTGTTCAATCATTGGAGCCGAACTTTGGGGCTTATTTAAATGCTTGAAGCTCGCATGAGATATTGGAGCGTGCAATGTGATTGTGGAGGTCGATAATAAAAGTATTATTGCAATGTGAATGGGCACTTTTGTCGGGGAGTACAGACGAGCATCTTGCGTGGTGTAAAGGAGCTTTTGAGTCGACAGTGGCATGTGGTCTTGAAGCATGACTATAGAGAATCGAACTTTCTTGCCGATTTTTTTAGCCTCGCTTGCGGTCCAAGGGCCTGGCAGTTTTCACGATTGGATAATCCTCCTCCGGGAGCAAATATTTGAATAGATCACGATGTGATAAGAGTGTCTTATTCTTGAAATGTGTTAATACCGTCGTAATTAGGCTTTGCCTCCTTCTCTTGTACCGAAAAAAATAACCATGATTAAGTCAAACTTTAATAAATAATGATCAAGCAATGATGGCAATATAGTAAATAACAATAATGCTCACCTACCCACGGTGGGCACATGTTAATATGTCCACCGCTTATGTGGCATGCACACATTGGTGATGTTAATATCTTCAAAAAATACATCACCAATGTGTGCATGCCACATAAACGGTGGGCATATTAACATGTACCCACCGTGGATAGGGGAACATTACTCTAATAAATAAAGAGGAAATAGTTATTTTCACCCCATTTTGAAGTCCTGCTAAGTTTTTCACACCGCCCAATAAAAAGTTAAGTTTTTCACCCCACAAAGTACGAAGAGATATGCGAAACACTATACGATAGATAGACGACCGGTATGAGCATGGGCGAGAAAATTATGAGTTAAAGTATGCGACGAATATGCGGAGATTCGATGTACGATTCAGTCAATCGCGATCCGTCGCCCATTAAATAATTATTTTTGTTATGCGAATGAACTGCGATTATTAGTCGAAAAAATTATTCTGCGACATACCAACGTCGCATATTATTCACAGAATTGGTGTATAATAAGTTTTTTCGTATTTCTTTCATCTTTCAGTTATGCGAGGCGGTATGCGAATTGCCGCATATTGCTCGCATACCCCCTTCGCACTTCTACTCGAAAGTGTATTTTTTATTCATCTTTTATTTCTTTCATCTTTCAGTTATTTCAGTTATGCGATAGAGTATGCGAATTGCGGCATATTGCTCGCATACCACCTTCGCACTTCTACTCAAAAGTTTATTTTTTATTTCTTTCATCTTTCATCGTTTAATTTAATTTTATTTTTTTCTTTCAGGTATGAGAACGGCATAATATTTTTAAAATTTAAATTTTGAATGGTTTAGAAACAGCTAGCAGTTGGAATGTTACGGCCGATTTTGAGGCGTCTTAACCGCTTTTCGAAATGCCTTAGCAGTAAAAGCGTGCACGCGAATCGTTTCCTCCGTCTATATAAAACGTGTCATCTTCGATACTTATCATGCCAATTCTCTTTCTACCCCTCCGTCCCCCAGAACTCTTTGGTAATGGCACTTCATTTTTCCCTTCTCTTGTACATGAGAAGCAGTTCGCCGGAGATAAACCAGAATTACAAAACTTCTTTCTTTCGACACGTGAGACAATTCTTTAAGATTACTGTGTCCGAATTGAGAACTCCTAACCTTCTGGATTCGTCGGAGGAAAAAATTCAACGAGCAGAAATTCCGCTATCCAACTTTATTAACGTGGCCCCCCCGGAAGAAACATATATGCCGCGACAGCGACGATGAAGATCAAACCTCCGGGCCCAAGTATTGCCGGATCAACTAGGGGAAGGTTGAAGGTCGGGAAGACGCGCGTCGGCGACCGGGGCATAACAGCCCGTCCCTCTGTCAAAGGCAATGCTAGCCTCAATCCTCTCGAGGTTATGGTCGGCCAGGTTTTCCTGACAGAGGAAGGTGGTTGGTATCGAAGGAGTATTTCCTCGAACCCGTCAGAGCCCATCGGTTGAGAGCGTGGTTGTCGTGGCCGATCTCATGCTGGAGTTCTACATGGAACTACACAAACAAGCTCCACCTATAGGTCCTCTTTCTCGAGTCTGAGTGCTGTGGTAGCTCGTCGGCTCCCTCGTCCTAGCTTTTGTTAGGCTGGTCCTTCAATTTTTTTTTATAACTTTGTAATCGGCTGGGGTTGAAGCGGCTGTAAGAGCAGTAGTGTATGGATTTCTGTTCGATCTTTTATTCTGCGAAATACAAACTTCGCATATTATTCGCCTAGTTGGTGCATAATAAGAAAAAAAATATTTTTGAAAATTTTCTATTCTGCGACACACATTGCGAAACACTCGTTTAGTATAAATGAAGAATAATTTTTTTTTAATTTCTTTTTGGAAATTTTCTATTCTGCAAAATACAGACGTCGTGTATTATTCGCCTAGTTGTTGCATAACAATTTTTTTGTAGAATTTAATTTTTTGAAAATATCGAAAATATTACGCACAACAAACGCATAACACGTAGTATAATCGAATAATAATTTTTTTTTTAAAAAAAAATTGTTTTTGAAATTTTCTATTCTGCGAAATACAAACGTCACATATTTAAGTTTTTTTTTTGTAGAATTTAATTTTTGTAAAATTCAACAGTTTAGGCTAATGAACCTGCGACAATTAGTCGAAACAATTTCGCATACAAACCGCACAACATTCGTAGTATAATCGAAGAACTTATTTAAACAAAAATTGTTTTTGAAAATTTTCTGTTCTGCGACACACATAATTGCGACAAATAAACGTCGCATAATTCATTCGCAGGCCAACAGGAGGATATTCGCATACCCACTTTTTGTGTTAAACAATTATTAAACAATTATTTAAAAAAATATTTTGTGTTCGAAATGGTTTGATAAATGCGATTCTTTATGCGACCGTCTCACGACGGATATGCGTTAATTCGCAGGTCTACCGCAGGGTATTAAACTGCGAAAGAGATACGGAAACTAAACCATTATATTTATTTTATTTATTCAAAATGCATCGGAATTGCGAAAGTATGGCACTTGTTACACGAACATTACTCGACAACTTTTATTTCGCATATTTTGTCGTATAGTTTATTATTTAAAACAAAAAGAAAAAAAGAAAGCAAAACGTCGCATATACGCTACTTTAACAATCGCACCTCTCAGGAGAAGAAAATAAAAAAGAAAGAGGGGCAAAAAATTTGAAATTTCATCTTCCATCTTGCGACATTAATTCGCATAGTTAGAAGCAAAAGAACTGTTAGAAATTAAAAGAAAAAAAGAACCAAAAATGATGAACGAGAACGACGTCATGGCCTTCTTAAGAGATTCTGAAGATTTCACGAATCAAGCTTTTCTCGTGGCGGCCGGCTAAGCGGGTGCCCTAACAGCGGCTACTGCGGCCGACGACTCAACGGCTGCCGTAACGGGTATGGCGGGCCACGACTCAGCGACTGAAGGCACGGGTCCGGAGGCCATCTCTTTTGGAGAGGTAACTTCCATTTGTTGCAATCATTGAATTTAAGTTATTTAATTTCATTTGCTTTATTTGTTGAGAAATAGTTGTTTTTATTTGATAATGTATAAGTAACTTGATTTGAATAATTAACAACAACAACAACAATGCGATTGTTTAGGATTGTGGTCGTACAAGAGACAGGGCCTGATCGATAAATATGAAGGGCTGAAGATCAACGCTTACAGCCGGCATTATATATGTTCTGATATCAGGAACGAGTTGGGCCTTGTTGAAGGGGCCTTGACTGCTTTCCAGGGCTCGGTCTTTGGCTTGTTCCTCCAGTTTGATGATATGGCTAATGTCTCTGCAAAGGCTATGCATGGGGTTCTTTCGCGCGAGGTGACTCGTGTCGGTCAGAACCCGAACGAGATGTGGTTCCGTATTGATAACCATTTAACCATTTAACCCAAACTCAGCGCCTCCTCCTCCTCCATCGTCTATTTTCTATGAGAAATATAAAGGCAAGCGGGTCACTATGCAGCAGTTGCGTGATGACTTCAAGGCGGGGCAGTTCCGCCACTCTCGGGATGTGATAGTGAGGGTGGCGAAGATGCTAATACTCATGTACTTTATAATTCCTCATGACGACAAGAAGGCTCGGTATATTGATACCTGCTGGTGGGCTTTGCTCGAGGACGACCAGATGTGGGAGAAATTCCCATGGGGGAGTTACTCGTTTCAGTACCTGCTCGACTACTTGAAGACGACCCAGTACAGTAAAATGAAATATCATATCTACGGATTTCAGTGGGCGTTTCTAGTATGGTTCTACGAGGAAATCCCTGCATTAGGTCGTATATGTGGAGCATGTACCTCGGTGAGACGTCCACCATGGCTGGTTCACTGGGAACTGAGGAAGGTCACACTTTCAAATATATTTTTTGACCAACAGGTATTATTTGATCCTAAATATTTTTTTGTTATTATTGGAATCATTAGCAAGTGATATTTGAAATTGTTTTTTAAGTCTTAACGATTTCTGATGATTTCTTTAATTTTATGTTCTATTTTTTTAAATTTAGTTGGAGGTGCATGAGAGGCTGAAGCCGTATCAGGAGGAGAGTGCGTGTTGAACCTTTCGAATTTGGATGTTGTTCAGGGCCCTAGATTTTTGCGACGGCTTAACCCAACCAGTCACCGTATACAAGACTCGGCACCGGTGTCCACGTTGGCTTTGCACCCGAGGAAGCGAGCCCGGACATAGGGTGAAGATAGTCCGATGCACCGGGAGGAGGTGAGGCCAACAGATGGGTCGGCCTTTATTGAGGATAATCGCGCGTGTGTACGGGCTGAAATGGCTAATGTTATATCCAGAATATCCTCTGAGGTGTCGGCAATCATTCTACGGGAGGTGCCGACTATTATTCGATAGGAGTTGACCAATCTTTCGCACCCCCATCTGAGACAACGTCCTCCCCAGTCCGAGTCGGCCGTCAACTCGACGAGACAGTGTTCCCCCACCCCCTCCCATGAGAGACAGCGTTCCCCCACCCCCACCCCTGTGACAGAGCGTTCCCCCATCC